CGCGTCACATTCGAAGATGGCGCACCACCGTCTCGTGATAGCCCAACACGAGACAATCAGAACACTCCCACTATCACGCGATCTGGTCGACAAGTCAGACCACCAAAGAGACTCGATCTGTGAACAGTTTTATGAACATTATCACCATCATTTTCTTTGATGTTATTATTTTTTTTTAACATGGCAAAGTGTTGGATTAGTGTTTTGCAGATGACTACACTAGACAAGTATAACACTGCCTTATTTATTTCTTTTGGTTAGATGCATAGGTCATGCACAGACCTTTATATACTTATATCATTTTTTTTTAAGAAACACCATTTTTTTTGTCTATTGTTACGAACAAAACAAAACAAAAGGACTTCAGCATAAGAAAAGATCACCAAGAACCAGACAGTAAAATGTTTGTTTTTTTTCCATGTAACAGCTGAGTTCATTTATTACCTGTTCAATGGACTCTCTGTTCCCGTCTTTGCTCAGTTTTTGGGGTTTTTTTGTCGTTAAATTTTTTTTTTCCAATTTCCAAACCAGTTGCAATTTGTTCATATCTTTCTTTTAAAAAGGGGGGATGTAATATACCAGACCATAGAGGGCGCTAGTCAGTCACTCCTTTCGGATAGTTCTCAGAGCTCACGTTGGAAATAAAGAGTAGCTGAAGTTGTCACCTAAATGCAGGTCGTCCTGGCTCCATAATAACCCTCCACACATAACAGGGGACTGTTATGGGGAAGCAGTATATCCAATTGACTCTGCATCCTGCAAGATTCAAACCAGGGTTTGAATGTGAAAGGCAAGGAACTTAGCTGCTGCCACGTGGTATGCAGATATGAAATTGTTTGACCTTGTGTCTGCTTTTTGCTTATCAAGTTCTTCTATTTCTTCTGTACCAAGTCTTCTTCCAAGATTGGATTTGTTGTGGCACCTTCAAGAGAGTGTGAGCAGTTGATACTTCCTGGAAAGGTCTTCAGCATCGTTCATCCTTGGCAGGCAAAGTTGGGCACAACTCCTCAGTTTTCTGGACAATACAGGATGTCAGTTTTCTGATATTGTATTCCTGTTCACAGTGGAAGTAAACAAATTCATATAAGTGTGCGCAACATTGAGCATGAATATATTTTACCACACATCTTTGAATAGAATAATAAGCTATGCATTTGGTTTGTACCTGGCAACATTTGTGCACGTGGTTCCCAGCAAATGTATTTCCGTGATATGCCTGCCGATGAACTCCCATTTCCTGCAGAGTCTTGTCCAGCTGAGAAGTCGGGGATCCTTGGCCTGGCTGCAGGGTGGTGTTCTTTCTCAGAGATGCTGCAGCTGATTCCTGGAAGAAACATGATATTGCAGTACAATCGAACTGAGGGGAGAAGGTTCTCAAATCTGGGTCGGCTTTGAAGAACTGAATTCTATGGAGGGGTCCATGGAAAATGCTACAAGTTTTCCTGTACAGCATCTCACAGCAGCATCACTGTGGCCATGTTATCACTAGCGCTTGTTGTTTGAAGGACCAGAGCTAACAGTTGGTCTTCCAGTGCTGCCACATTCACTTTCCAGGCATCTGCTTCCTCCTCTAGTGCAAGGGCATTTCTTATACCAGCTGTGTATTCTCCAAATTCTTCTCCAAGTTCTTCTCTGCTTGTAGCTCTCCAGACATTGCTAAAGTTTCACTTAGCTTGGTACCAAGCTCATGACAGGCACTTTGCAAACTGACATAACGCTTTAACAAAATGTCCAGGCTTATGTGAAGACCTGGTGGACGCACCTAAAGAAAGTATGTGTCCAAACAGAATGAATGAATGATGAGCTTTGGTTCAAGTAGATCAAAGTGTGTTTATATTATTGGTTTACTGAAAATTGCCAATGTTACTTCCAAAAAATTGAAAAGGAAAGTTATTGCAGCGACCGTGGGAAAATGAGGATTCAATTGGCTTGTTTTTACCCTGCAAATGATAAAAAGCAAATACAATAGTAACACCCAATTAATAGAAAAAGTATGCTCACATGAGTGAGAGGGATGAGAAGCATGGAGGGGCCGGATGACATTGTTGAATAACTTCGCTCTGGAAGGCTGACAACCATCTTCCCTGAACTTAGACAGATCACTCGCCATTGTTTCCAGGGTCCGGTGCTCTGTGGCAGATCATTGATGTTGAGGACATTGAATGTCTTCATAGGTTGCTGTGCAATACAAACATCTGTGCCGCCGTGTGAACAGATGATTGTTTGGTCCATGGACATGTTTTTTTTTTCAATACTATCTGCTGTACAGTGACAGCAATTTTGCCCTTTACGGTGATCCCACAAAATTGGCATCAGCAAAGGGAAAGAGAATGTGCCAGAAATCACCAGTTGATGCTGTCCTATGTTGCGTCAAGCAGTTGGCATACGTATACATATACATTTACACTAGTGTACGTGTACATGTATTCTGCAAAATAGTTGTTTGTACAATGTACACAAACAATATACATGTTCGACTCTAAAACACTGGCACTGAGTTGTCTTGTATGTGAATGATGAAGCTCACTTTGTGAAACTGTTGATGTTTTCACACGAATTGTGAATTATTGTAACAAACAAGAGGTTGATTTAAGTGATTTGGTTTCTATGGATCATTAATGAACAATCCATAGCAGTGGAGACTATAGACCATGTCACAAATAATACTTGACTCTGGCACTAAGTCTGGTTAATATTGTTGGAAGGAAAAGGGGAACATATTCCATAAATCATATTTTTGCTATGCAGTTATATTTATCTCTTTTACTACAATGAATTATAATTTGAGTATTCAAGAGCCTCTCCGGTTCTTATCAGAACCACACAGACTAAAAAAAGAGATATTGCATGGTGTTTGCGGTAAGCAAGCTTTCCATCTTTGGAGTATTCATGCTTACTGTACAGGTTGTGCTGTGTGGAAATGAATGTCATCATTGGATTGGCTTGAATTCCCACAATGCTGTTCAATCTTTGTGCAAGAAAGAACACACAAACATTATTTGCAATAAGGTCTATACATGTAAACTGCTGTGGTTAATCAATACACTGTTTTATTATTTCTTTTCAAATGCACCTGTTGCTCCAGCGATGCCATATGTACGACACAGATACTGATAGTCTCCAAAGAGAAACACATCAAACTTGTAGTGCCTGTCACAAGGAGCAAAAGAGTTGAACAATTGATTATAACTCTACGTACGTTTCTTGAGTGTTACAGCTCCTTGACACATAATTGATTATACATGCAATATTTGACGTAAAAATGTGACCAACGATGTATGTGTTGTAAAAATGTGACCAACGGTGTATGTGTTGTTTTTACCTCCAGGTAGATTTCATCAGCTCAGCAACTTGTTCCTGATGTCGCCTCAGTCCCAGCTCCAAGTTATAACTAGAATCATCTGCCTCGAAGACACACACAGCAACTGTACTGGCAAGTGCATTGGGCCTCTGTACATTCCCAAACTGGAACATTTGCTTGAAGGTACATGTATGGCCTCCCTTATCTCCTACGTCTAATCCATATTTTGTCATCAGGGATGACGCCATCGTGCCACGTCAACTTTCCAGCCCTGTTTTCAGGAGAACCACCAACCTGTATCAGCATGTCTCTGATTGTTGCCTTCACAAGAGAAAATAAAGTTGATAATTGGCATTTTCAGTCTCAACTCGAGAAATATCCAACAACCCACGTTTAGTTTCCCCTCTGAAGTTTTCCTTCAGGGACAGCCCACCGTAAATGCAACAGAAACACGGTGCAGAAAACTGCCATGGCCAGTCACTTGTATTCTGTGTTCAATCAAAATTATATACATGGGGAATGGGGAATAATTAACTGTTAGTGATGTGAGTTTATTTTGCATGCAAATGTACTATGAAGACTATGCTTGTCAACTTGAGTTTCTAGAGACCCATCAGAGTACGAAAAATACACTATATTTTCAATGATTTAATTTTCTTAATTTAATGCATCAGTATGGTAAGGGGTCCTTTTTATTCCGTTAAGATCTTTATCAAAGGCAAAATGACAGTTAACCAAATTCTTTGTGTATTTTTGTCCGTGTGTTCCAATGCATTTGTCATTTTATCTTTGATACAGATCCTGCTAGAGTCAAAACATGAGGCCACTCGCTACATTTTTTAATTTATACTGCAGGACTATTGGATTTACTTTTCAAAGTAACAAAACTGGCCTTTCTGATCATATCTCTCTAGCTGCTGAACAGTCTTTGCCATCAGGGATTTGACGCCCAAGCATGCTGATTGGCCCACCATCTTTCCACCATTCACATCATCTTTGAAGAGACAGGGTAGCTGTTCTCCAAGTATGTTGTCATCAATGATTTGCTTACCCTGCAGACAGAGTGATCTTTCACTTTCTGTAAGAACACCGTATTGTTTGAGCCACCTAAAAATATAGAAGGGAATTTAAACAAAATCAACAAGTTGAAATATTTCTATTATGTGTTAACCCATGATCATCTGTGAGTTAAATCTTCATAAGAAGTATTTGTATATCTGAAGATGTGTTGACTTCCTTTTCAAATTTATATTGGCAATATTAGCTGAGAATATATGAAGCAGTGACAATGCTGTCAGCCATAAATCCAACAGTAGTCATATTTGTACTGCATGTGTAAATGGCAGAATCAAAATTAGCACAAATATGTGAGACGGCAAAAGGTTCTTTTCTAGTGGCTAAAATAATTTTTTATTTACTCAGAATTTATAATTAAAAAAAAGGGTTGGTACAGTAGCTAAACGGAAACAAAGAAGAAAGAAGAAAAATCTGAAGTAAATTCTAAAATCAAATCAAAATCATGCATGTAATCCGAAGGCAAACAGCTATTACTCTGTAACGAAAACATAAAATAGTTTCCCTTAAGTCATAACAGTGTCCCTCATTGGGTACAGTTCTGGCAGATGAAAATGCAAAATCCTCAAACTTAATCTCCTTAACTACATGAGCTACATGTAGGCCTCTATCTTTACATCACAGAAGATCTATAGTGCCTGGCTCAGCTGCCTCTCCCTAAATAAACAATTCACTAGCCACTGCTGCACTGTTCCATACTGGGGGTAGAAAAGACTAATACATACTAATGAGCAAGGAACAGGTGACTATAATTAAGCCTCCTTCCAGGAGTTCATAAACACTCTACTGGACCTTGGAATGCACAACTGTCCCACCCATGGCATAGAGATGGTGCAGTGACCACATATCAATTATCGCCACAGTATGTATATGCAGTATAGATACTCAGCACCACAATATCGATATCATCACCAAAAGTCTTTTGAGCAATACAATAAAACTAAGAGTTGGCTACATATACGTAACATTGAAGTTTCTATCTTAGTAAACAAGACTTGGCAAACAAGTACAACTAGTCCTTAGCAAACAGTAAGAGTTCTGCACGCATACACATAAAGGAAATACAGAATAATTGAAATGGCATGATGACTTTTCATGATTGAATGCAAAGATGAACTGTATCCATTGCTGCTGGCAAAGAAAATCCACTCTACTTTTTCAAGATCAAGATTTCGAGAAAATAATACTTGCACAGTGTGACATCATAAAATAACTCGATCCTTCACTTACACATAGGAAGTCAAACAGCAGAATGACTCAAACCAAAAATAACAATGTGATCCCAAGTCTTCCAAACACTAGAAACTTACTTTTACTCTGAAAACACTCCAGAGCAGCTATATACATTGGACAAAACCAAAAGTCAATGCAAAAACTAGAAGTCAATGAATCCCAAGTCCTTTCAAGAAACTGGAAATTGTGAATGTAGCTAGAAACTTTTAGAGGAATCTTCACAGCGAAATATCTATTCTCTGGACCCTTTGGAATGCACTTCAAATACAATATGCAGTAAGAAGCTCCCCCTAAGATATGGAAAAAATGTAAACTCACCCAAGAATCCTCAAAGGAACTTTCTGAACATATACAGTTGTAGGTTTAGGACTTGATGTACCCGGTGTCACGATAGCCCAAGTAGAGAATACATGTATGTGTGTCCATGTATTAGGCTATTGTGGCGGGCATCCCCGGGCCTACCCTGAGTTGATGGGATCAAACCAAGCACTATTAGTGGCAGAGTCGATCTTCCCAACCTAAGGCTTTTCCCCAGACGAGAGACCACACAGAGCGACCTCAAGGCAAAGGGTGCAGGACCGTTTAGGAGGAAATATACCGCCGATTGTGACCGAGTGTTAATTAGTCTCTGCTGAATTACACAATCAACCTGTAAAGAAAGTAATCCTTGACAGAAGAACTGTCGGTACAGGACGTTCAATTTATTCAACAATAATCAACACAAATCAACAAATGAAATGTACGGTGAAGTGATTGGGAGATTGGTTTGGTTGNAAGTCCAACACGCAACCACCTATAATGCGATCGCAGCGCTCACTGCAGGAGCACGACCATGTGCGCACAGCGCGCTACGCTCTGCCTAGCCAGCACACGTTAAGAAGTCACTAGCCAATCAGGTACGTGCACTGCAACTCATTAATAAAATTAGACTAGCTCTAGTCCTATACACTTTCCGTCACACTATTATCTGAATGATGATGTGGCAAGGTGAGCCACATGGACCAGGAGACCACACCACAGGAAATGGCCGGTGGTTTGTCTAATTGCCTATTCACGAGGTTTACTTGACTTAAAAGAATCTCCCCATCTGTTACATTACTGAATAGAAAATATAGGGGACCATGCAGAGGAATTAAATCACACTAAAATGTAAGAAAAAAAATATCCTGTCACATATGAAATACGTTCCAGCCAATTTTTTAGTATCATATATAGTGAGAGATGAACTGACTTATCTTGTGAAGATTCAATCTCTTGTTTTACAGAATGTATACTTCAGATGCTGGATAGTATTATGTTTTGGGAGATATATTTAAAATTCAAACAATTTAACAACCTTTTCTATTCTTTGCTCACTTTCCAGAGAAGGCATAAATCAGCTTTCATTTTCAGGAAATTTCCAGTAGGAATGCAAATTTGGTGCAGATCCATGTGCTGTAAACCTTGCTGGTGATCACTTTAACTTTGCTGTAGCTTGACCTCATCTGCAAATTGTGCTTGGGCATCCCCACCACGCATGACCTCTCTAGCCTTGGCCAGAATGTGCGTTCTCTGTCGCTTTGCCAAGGAGGACGCACTTTCACTTGCTTTTTGTGGCTGCGGTACACAGATCGATACTAGTTTCTGTCAATCACAAAGAAAGAAAGAACATAAGCCTTACAGAAACTCTTTAATACTGTATAAGAAAGCAAGACATAGATTTATCCTGAGATCTGATTGATGAATGAATAATGAATAATAAATATACAAATGATCAGCTGCTTAATTTGGATTGTTAAATGGCAAGCTGTTATGTCTTAAAAAACGGTTATTACTTTGTGTCTCCAAGATTTGTTGAAGGCAGGTGGGTATAATCTGCTAGCGCGTCCTGAAAGAACCCCTTCTTCCTGGTTTCTCAGTGGATGACAACTCCATCCACAGTGGTGCAAAAGCTTGTATCGACCACAACCTCGGCAAGCTTCGGGATCCTTCGACGAAGGTGTTCCACCCCACCAGTCTGTACTACTGCATCACCAGGAGGAGGGCCACTTACTTCTGCTTCCCTTGTCTTGGTTGAATGTAAAAATAAAGACAGGGAGTTAGTGGTATCGTAATGTTGCTTTGGGTCACGTCAGCTGTGTTCCATGGCTCGACATGATCTCCTTGGTAGGGTTTGAGTCTATCTGCATGTATAACGCGCGGGTTAGCGCCTTTTGATTTCTGTATCCGGAAGACAACGTCGAATAACCAATGGAGGACCATATATGGTCCCTCCCACTTCATTCGCAGCTTGTCACAACCCCCCCCCCTTTTCCTCGCAGGATTGAATGTCCAAACAAATTGGCCTTCTTGGATCCCTGCGTCAGTTGTTCTCCTGTCGTAGTTTTTCTCTTGCCTTCAAAGACTCGAGTTTGTGCTCGTTCATGGGCCCTTTCAATCTGGCTGCGGAGATCCTGAGCGTAGTCTGTTTGTATCCCATCATCCTCAGTACTTGGTTGCTGAATAGTCAAATCGATGGGGAGCATCACCTCTTGACCCATCATCATCATATTCCGATAATCTCTTGGGGCATACACCTGTACGCTCCTGTTGCAAACGGGAGGCATTTGTCCCAGTCACGCTGGCCAATGTGAGGATCGTTGATCGTTGATATTAATTTTTGATATTAATCAGTGAATCTTTCGATAAGGTCATCTGATTTTGGGTTATAGGCGGTTGTACGGGTTTTGTGTGTCCTCAAATGTTTGCATAATTCTTGGAATATTTTGGACTCAAAGTTAGCCTAGTCCCTTGGTCCGAATGAATTTCTCTGGGCACTCCATAACGGCATACAAATTCGGTAACAAACTTAGTAGCAACGGTTTCAGCTTTCGCGTCAGGAAGGGCATCCACTTCCATCCATCTGGTGGCATACTTGCCTACTACATGAATCCACTGGTTTCCCTCATTTGTATTGGAAAGTGAGCCAATCAAATCCATGGCAACCATAGTCCCGCCCACGTTGTATTGTTGCAAGGGCGCACGCCTTCTTTTGGTGGGAGATTTCCTCTTAGCCCTTTGGTCACAGCAGTGAATGCAAGCTCTTACATCAGCGGTCATTCCTACCCGGAAATACAGCTTTAACATTTGCATTTGTCTTTTTCATACCAAGATGGCCGCCCAATTTACCGCTATGTAGTTCGTTAGTACACTGGCACCTCAACTGTTCAGGTACAACCAGTCTCCAGTGGACAGAAATCCCATCGTCTGATTCCCAACGTTTGTATAGTACACCGTCACAGATTACTAATTGGTCCCAGTACGACCAGTATGTCTTGTTTGCTGGAGGTATTGCAGCTATCTCCCCCCATAGAGGGCATTCTTTTCCTTTAGTCTTTGCTTCCACTACCCAACGTATGGTGGCATCTTCTAGCTGAGCCTTGAGTAGCTCATCGTTGCTCAGACCTGGTTGCAATACCGCATTTACATATCGTACGGGACTGGCATCATCAGAATCAGCACCATTACAGTTGCTACACTGTTTGCAGGGTTGACGGGATAACCCGTCGGCGTTTGTATGTTTGGCACCAGGGCGGTGTTGTATGATGAGGTCATGTTCTGATACTGTTTCTAACCAGCATGCAAGCTGGCCTTCCAGGTCTTTTGTCTTCATCAGCCATCTCAAAAGAGAATGGTCTGTTCTCACGGTTACTTTCCGCCCATACAGATAATGGCGGAAGTATTTCAGGTAGACCACTACCGCCAGTAATTCTCGCCTAGTCACACATTAGTTTTTCTTGGCCTTGTTGAGCTTCCTACTCGCGAAAGCAGCAACCTTTTCTACCCCATCTTGGACTTGAGACAGCACACCCCCTACTCCCTCAGAACTTGCATCGGAGTCTAATATGTACTAGCCCTCTGGCGACAGGTAAGCGAGAACTGGGGAAGTAACCAATTTCTCCTTTAATCGAATGAATGCCTCCCGACAGGCATCAGTCCATATGAAGTCTCTAGATTTTGACGTCAATGCGTGTAGCGGGCTAGCAATGGTTGCAAAGTCCCGGATGAACCTGCGATAACATGAAGCTAGGCCAATGAAGCTTCTTAGCTTGTTTACGCACTTAGGGACTGGTCAGTGAGCTACTGCCCTGACTTTGGCGGGATCCCTTGCCACTCCTTCCTTTGACACGATGTGGCCGAGAAAGCTTACGGATTTCTGAAAAAGGCTGCATTTCCTTGGCTTGAGTTTTAGGCCTGCACTCTGCAAACGTTCAAACACTTTGCATAAGCGTTCTATCTCATCATTCACTGTCTTGCCGAAAACGATGACATCATCTAAGTAACCCAGTAAAATGTCCCACTGGAGTCTGGCCAAGAGCTTCTCCATTAAACGTTCAAAGGTTGCTGGTGCATTTGCCATGCCAAATGGCATGACTTTGAATTTCATCTATACAGTGTCGTCGATTCTCAGCACAGGATAAAAGTCCTTTACCGTTACTGCATTCAAACCCCTGTAGTCAATGCGAAGGCGTTTCGTTCCATCCTTCTCCTTTACAAGCACTACATTTGCCATCCATGGGCTATCCGACTCCTCAATCAGGCCTCTCTGCTTCAAATCTTCAACCTGCCTACCGATTTCTTCGAGATTGCTTGCGGGGTGGCGCCTTGGCTATTGTTTGACCGGTCTATCACCCCCAGTGTTTATGTGGTGCTTAACCATGTTGGTATGACCTATGTCCCCCTCGCCACAAGAAAATACATCCTGGTACTTAATCAAGCAGTCTCTCAATTTATCACGGTCTTTTGGGCATAATCTGGCTGTACCCCTTTCATAAAGTTCATGCAAATGGGTCGGTAGGATGCCCATTCCAACGTGGTCTTTTTGTTCCGCAGACAGACTTTCAACTTTAACTGGTGAAACAGTTGCAGCCATGGTCCCTGCCCTGAGTGCACGCTTGTCATTTTGGGCTTAGAACCCGAATGGGCACTATCTCTGTTGGTAACTCAATCACAGACTTGGCCAAGATCAGTCTTTTTCACCAGCTCGGCCACCAGACTCGATTGGTTCGACTATTACTGGCCTATTTACACCTTCACAGTGTCCAACTATCGATCCGGCGAGAATCGCCTCGTATCCTCCAGGTATCTCCATAGTTTCACTTATTACAACTTGTCCAATAAATGACACCCCATCAGATGATGTGCACTTAATTCTTTCACCATTTTGCAAAACTCCAAAGTACAGCAGTCCAGGTTACCATCTGTTTGCAACAACCAATCCATTCCAAGCATTGCAAGTATCGATAGGTCAACAAATACGGCCTTTGCAGGTCGTAAAGTCCTACTGATTTGCAAGTCTACCCAGGCTGTTCCACGTACGTTCAATGGACTACCGTCAACTTGCCAATACTCAGTCTTCACAGCGTTCCAACACGGGCCATTGTTCATTGGGTAACTGATAGAAGACATCAGCCTCCCGACGGGCCTCTCGGTCATTTGTTCCCTGTTTCCCTGGTTATAGGATCGTTTGGCTCTGGGTTTCTGGCATTCTTTTGCAAAATGCCCCAGCGTGCCACAGTTGTGACACTCCAACTCGGTTTTATCACGCCATCTTGTATGTGCACGGTGAGCTTAGTGCTGGTAGCCCAGATGACACCGCTTTGAGGACTTTATCCATTTGCTTAGTCAAATCGCTTACACACTTCACCTGCTGACTTGCAGCTTTCTCAATAGTCTGGATCCAGTCCTCCATACCATGATCCATGCCCCTTGCAAACTTGGGGGACTTATCAAATCTCCTCTGAGACTCTACCTTAAGAAAGCTCTTTAAGGCAGCCTGGAGTGCCTCAGATAGGTTTTTTGGTCTCGCACGAAATACGCCCTTTCATATGTGTTGATCGGATACGGCATCAACAAGTGATTTTTCTCCAACCAGTCCCTTGCTTCTTCAGGGATTTCCGGATATGCTTTTACTGCCAGCTCGTGGATTGCTTGGCATAACTCCTGCATAGTTTCTTTCGGCTTTTGCCAGCGATGACGTAGTTCAACAAGGAAGTTTTTGACTTGTTGACCTGGCCCAAATCTTCTTGCTAACAACTTTACAAGCTCATCATAACTCAGCTTATGCCCTTTGTTAGCTCCCTCTCCAGATACTGAGCTGCTTGGTCATTATCCCACCGGTTCACTAACTGCAGCTTTCAAAGTGCCTGTAATATTCTGTCCATGGGACTTTCCCACTGAAACAATCGGGGACTATATTTGGACGGCGCAGAGCTCGAGACATCTGCTCCTTCAGCCCATCTTCCCCAATAAACCTTACATCCTTCTTTAGCTTGGGAGGCTCCGCCTCCTCTGCCCTAAGATTGTCTGCCTCCACCTGATCAACCCTACTAATTGTTGGGTGTGTAGCAAAGCTCAACAAATCGCAGTGTCGCTTCTTCTCTATGCCAGATGCGCATGGAATGCGGACATTACTGTTCTTGTTCACATCTGGCTCTGACAAAGCAGAGATCACTGGACTGGATACCCTGTCTTTTCTAGGGGTTGTCCAATCAAAACTCAAGTAGGAAGGTGGGTTTCTGGGGTCTTTCGTACCGTACCCATGGTCGCGTACCCAGAAGTCTCACCCTTACTTTCAGCCAACAATTGGCATGGAAACTGCAACTCTATGTCCGAGTCTACCCGAACCATTTTATATGTCTGTGTAGCAGGGGCAGATTTAACTTATTTTTTTTTCTTTGTACTAAATGCAAATGTCCACACACTGTATAGGAGTAGCACCCCTTAGTCTACCCATCCTGAAGTTGCATTGTGCCCCTCATAATTGTTTACTTGATGATGACTCATGCAACTGGACAGGCACTGTGGGCATGCTTTGAGCCCAAGTCTCAGTAAGCAGGTTGGCAGTCGGTGAAGTAACACACCTATTAAATACCAGTCAAGTTCTGCCTTGAAAGCTCAGACCTGCGGTGGACTTGGTGAGTTTACTTTTATTTCTGTATTAATCTGTATTGTTAAAGAGAAAGACTTTTGTATTTTATGTCAGCTGACTGCTTTTGATGATGTCACTTTCATAGTTTGAGATATTGTTTCATCTTTACTCACATTATTGGCCAAGTGTTCTTTTGTAAGATTTGAACCAAATTCTAGCCAGATGACTGTAACTTTTACACAGTGTTTTGATCATTGCTGAAAACTTTTGGCCTACTCGGATATTTTTGTTCTTGTTGCTTAGCCTGTTTAAATACGAAGATAGTGTTTGTATTCACACAAGTGGATTTTTTTGGGAAGTTCTTCACTAGGAAGATTGACGATGGAGTCTATGTAGTTCTTTTTTTAGTAACAAATAGATCGTATCTGCGATTTTGGTTCTCTGCTTTTGGATTTGAGTCCTAAGTCCGTGCTTATGAACATTTTAAGTTAAAGTTGGTTTATGAGGAGGAGGATTGCCATGTAGATTCACTCCAGACCATGATTGAAAGTGAAGCAGAATAAATTGAGTTGAAGTGTATTTCTGCTGACTTAGTTGGTACATATGACAGAACACGGATAGATTTGTCTTACTTTTCTTTATTATTTAGTCTTGAACTCGAGTGCATAAATTCTATTATCAATTTTTTTGTGCTTTTACCTGTGTGTAGTACGTACATGTATTTGTTAACCATGTGGCCAGTACATGCGTCCTGTGCAAGTCAGTTTTCTTTGTTCATGGACTCCCATATGCTTGTGCACATGTTTCAGCAGGAGGCTCAGGTAATTGCAGGGATTAAGAATTAGTGTGGCCTGCCTTCTTGGAAGTGGCCAGACCTTTTATTTATTACCTCATTGATATTCACGAGTTTTGGCAGGTCTCAGCCTTACTGCACATGTTTGTTACTGAAGCTAAAAAAGTTTATGATGCAAATTGAGCAACTGTGGATGTGCAGAGTAGTACTTTGTGCATTGGATAATTTCTTTGTCTTCAACTTGTATCTATATGGTTTTTATTACTTTTCCTTTGACTTACAGGTAGTTAACGCTTGAGTTGGATTGATCTGTAACTTTTCTTAGGTGCTGTGTTGGTTGTGTTGGGTTGTGTTGGCTTTGTTGGTTCTTCTTTTTTTTTTTCTTGTTAGTTTGGGTTGGTCTTGTTTTAGATTGGTTAAGCCATACCTTGATTCTGTGGTGGGTTTACTTTGGTCTAGGATTGGTTTAATTTCTAAAATTAATTTTGGTCTTGGTCATATTTCTCCTACATTTTAGGTTTGGTTTCTGCAATTCTCTTGGCTAGATTTTCAAGTCTTTAGGTGAATATTTTAAAATCTGATTTTTGACCCAGTCCTTTTTTTTTAGTTCTCCAGTTACTTTCCTTTTTGGGGGGATATTTTTTAGAAAAAATAAAAGATTTTGTTGTTGGAATCAAGTTTCAGCTTCCATAGCCCTATTCTTTTAGACTTCTTGCGACTTCTCCCTTTTGATCCTTTTGAAATTTTTTTTTAGCGAGTTCCCCAAGTATTTTATTTTCTTCAAGTCTCTTCTGCATTTTTTATTCTTATCTGAAGTGTGCCATTTTTCCCCATTACATCTGCTGCAAACTTACTTGGGCGCCTCCTGCTGGGCCCGAATCAGAACTGTTAGCCTCCTTCAGGGCTGCTTTTAACTTTGCAATCTTCTTCAAATGTCGTTCTTTTTCCCGTTCAAATAACTAAAACTCTAATTGTAACTTTTGCAAGTCTCCCTCCCCTAACTGTTTAATGTCTGCCATATTGTAGATGTTTTGGTCCCTGACTTAATTGACAGGGATCGGGGGGGGCATTTCTAATTAAATTGATAAACTGTATGCAAATTAGATGCAAAACAATCCCCGTATAGTTTGCCTAAACCAACAAGAATCCCACTTCTGACACCAATTTGTGACGTCGCACCCCTTCAGTGGGAGCAGGACCCACGCTGTCTTCTTCAGGATTGTCCCTGAGCGGCTAGAGACTCGTCCGTCTGGATGGAAGTATACCTTCCCGGTATTGGTTTTTAGGTGTACATGCGGTTCGCACTCTATTACCTGTGTTTGCTAATAAATGTGGCGAGTGATTTCTAATGTCGAATAACTACTAGAATGGAGTCTACAAGAACCCGATAATTAAAAACCCACAAATTCCCACAGCTATCTGCAGTACCAATCGTCTCGCCTTCAAGTGTAAGAACTCCATCCCTCACTCTCAGTTTCTTTGACTGCATAGGATTTGTAGTAGCAATGTGGTGTTCTCTGCACGTGGGAAGGAAATGCTAGGTTTCTTTCATCAGCGCGGTTACCCTCTGGTTATCACAGACGCTGCCTTCAACGCTGTATTTTCAATCCTGTGCCAAGCAACGTGATTGCATCCCCCTCATACTCACACAGCACCCTCGAAACATCCCGGTACGTAATATTCTTCTCAAATATTCATTTCTAGTGTAGCTAGAAATTCATGATGGGGGGAGCCACAATGGGGGCATTAGCATGTTGTGGGGGATAGTGATCTGTATGCTGGAATATATTGTTATTTTTGGGTGACCTATATAAATGAATGCATTTTAGGCACTATGGGCATTTTTACTGAGGGTAACTGAGCTTTAGGGGAGTACTGGAACTTTACTGTGCCCCCGTACACTTCTGCAATGTTTCATTGAATTGTGCATTTAGGTACATGAGGAGGGTTTAATCAAGTAAATTCGGGGTGTTTTATGTCGAGACTGCCATTTTTTTTTCAGAAAGCTGTATCCTGGAGGGCAAATGTGTTTAAGTTGCACTTATCCAATTTAGTTTAGAGGCTTTTATGTGATAATATATGGATTTTCGTAAAATATGGGACCATCCAAAATACAGTTGTCAGTGAATGACTTAAAAACTAAAAAGAAAAAGGTTGTTCGATTGGTTCATTTATTCCTGAGGTTGCTTTATCTGAAACCTGAAAATATCAGTTTGAAATTAAAAAAGACAACTTATAGGAAGTAAACTTAGAAAATTCCTTTACACATGTTCACGTCTGGAAACGTGCAACGACTCCAGTAGATAATCGAGCCAATTTCCTCTTGAGGATTGTTGTTCCCTTTTTTTTTTCAGTCCTTGGTGTGAAGGGGTTATCTTGAGAGGCAGTCAGCAAACTACTCTGCAGGGTTTCTGAGTCACACTGATGGCTTGTCTCATGTGCTGCCAACTTTGGCCTGCATTGCTGCATTCTACACAGGCAAATCTAAGAGTTTGCTGGAAGTAGTCGGTTACGTTTTTAATGCCCATGAAGTTAACATGTTGTTTGGACTCTGGACACTGCATTCTGTTGAACTATCTTTACTGAACAAGTGCCTGATGCAGTTAAGACAAAATACATGCTTGCATGGTGTTTCAACAGGATTATTCAAGAATTGTTTACATAGTGAACAGTTATACATAGAGCATGTGAGAGTGAAACCCTTTTGGCATATTTGTTGTTCATCTGCATCAGTTAGGGAGTGGAAGTGATGTTGAGGTGTAATTGGCTGTGCCTTTGATTTTGCAGCCAGACCAGTTAGGGGTTTTCTTGGCCTACCTCGTTTTGCTCTTTGTTTGTACAGACTGCAGGTCCGACACTCATTTGACTCTGAGGAATGGGGTTTCCACTCAGCAGGTATGTGCTTCATTGTATAGGCGTAGTACAGGCGGCATAAATGCACATGGGTGCACATCCTCGGTGTCACTGGCCACGTCCACGCCGAAAAATAGACAAATCTTCCCAATATAAGCAGAGATTTTCATTGGTTTCTTGCCTCTCACCTCTTCCTGTTGGCTTTAATTGTTACCACCGCAGAGCCTACAGAGTTTTCCCAAGAACTCTCGGTGGTCTTCAAGTGAACCCGTGCTCAAACTTCAAATCATATATGGTTTCGCAAGCAGGTGTATCAGCTTAAATGCTTACGATTAATATTTAAATTTACTGCGGTGTTGTAAACAGCAATTGGATTCATGGTCCTCATTGATTTGTTGAAAATATGTTCTGAAACCAAACTGTTTTGTGATACTTTCCCACAGGTCACATTCACATTGGAAAACTACATGTTTCACATTTTGAAAAATCCAGGTTTGGGACACTTCTGTTATTTTAATAATTTTTTTACAACAGTCTGGACAACGTGCACCACTGTATATGACTAGCCTATGGGAACTTGCTGACGCGCCCCTACTTTGAGTCTCCCAAAGAGAAAATTGACTGAAGTCGACAATGCTTTCAGTTTACACCCTGAGAATTTCTTATGACCCTCAAACCAGCGTGAATACTTCTATTAAACATTGTTTTGTATGGTGACGTGCCATTTTTGCTCAAGAAAACTGTTGAGGTAGTGAAAAAATATTACTTTTATGTGTGAAAGTGGTTTTGATTACTACGTTGATTTTTTTGTTTGTTTGTTTTTTTTGTTAATGTAGATTTTGTTGTATCTGAGAAGTGTAAAATAATTTTTCCAAATGTATTTTACAAAATCTATACTATTTCTATACAGATATCACATAACACATAACAGAGCATACCGAGGCGTCTGAAAATTGTCAGTTTTCTGGCCTTTCGTTTGGAGAAAATATACCAAACGTCGTCTGCTCCAGTTTATTATGCTGATATAACCCAGTGCGCATGCATGACCTAACCAACTAAGCAAACACAAGCCTTATCGTGCTGTAGCATACGTGAGAGGGCCAGGTGAAGTCTAATCTCTGTATGTGAAATAAAAATTACATCCCTAAAACAAGGCATTCTTATAAAAGTCATCCACTACATTGTCAGTTAAGTGAACATGTAACCGAATCCACTTCGCCAAAAATCAGATTTTTGAAACCAATCCCTTCCATTTTCCTCCAAGCAAAACTTGATTTAACAAAATGACAGGCTTTACTAAATCAAGAGGGCGCTATAGAGAAAACTGAGCCCACAATTGACAATAGAAAGATTAGTACTTTGTCTGAAATATGAGCATTAACTCAGCTTATCACAGTCCTTACACCATACAAACTACTAGATTTTTGGTGAACCCACAAAATGAAATAAGTTAGAATGTACTGCGGAGGTGATCACAGTAATGAGAATTCAAAGAAAAGTAGGGGGGAACCCTGACCGTATGGCTGATGTGGCTGTCAAGGAATGGTGCCATCTTAGAAAGTTGCAAATGTACCAAATTTGGTCTGCTAAAAAAACACTTCATGCAAGAATTTCTAACAATCATGAACTTCAGGAAGCTCTAATTAAACACTTTCCTGTTTATGTACACTGGTACATGTATGGCTGATTTAAATAATGGGAGGAAAAGGAGGCCGGGAAATTTACCTGCAAATTTCAGGTCGAATATACATGATCACGCACAACACAAGGAGGCGGCAAGTTGGCATAAGCAACCTCCGGCCCTTGGTGGCGCACTTCAACTACACACACCTGGCTTTGCGACAACACGGCCTCCATAGGTTGTCTCTAGCCTGCAACCTACACATACATGTATGCATTATTTTCTAGTTCATTACTCCATTCACTCAGTGCTCCCTCACTCGCTTGACTCCCATGGGAGCAGCTGCCATGATCTTCCTCTTTATTGTAGCACCAATGTCAGGAAATGGAAAAATGTAAAATTTGTGTGGGTTTAATATCTTACATTTGTTATTCTGCTCCCCTCGTTCCCGGGATACTTTCCAACCTTATACAACCCTAATGGAACTATCTGTGGTATGCAATGGTGGAGGTCATGATGTTTACCTCACTTCCTAACTCAGTCCATTGTTTTAGGGGAACTTTCCCACAGTCCTGACCAAGTATTTTTAGAAAAAGAATGCCGGTTTTCGTTCTTTGGGAGATTCATCAAATTGGAGGTTGCAAGTTGTTGGACCCTGGGAGAAAATNATACGCCAGATTGGAAAGTTAGTATGTGCTCACCAACACAGATCAAGAGGTTTTATTTGTGCGCCAAGTCATTTTATGATGTGTTGTGTGAAAACTACCCAAGAAAGTGTTGTGTAATTGGTCGCATTCCTTCAGAAACAGCTGTGTTTTGGTTATAACAAGAACTCAAGGCTATACACTCCAACCACTGTGTATGACCCATGACTTTTTACTACCAGTGTGTGTGCACAGTATTTGCACCATGGAGGTTGTGTGTAGTAAGTGTTGTATTATCTACTGTACATGTAAGTAATTGTGTTATTTTCCTAATATTACCGGGGTCCGTCCGTCGGCCTGTCGACCCATATACCATCCAATCAGTCTGTTGACCCTATTTATTGAGAAGAGCTTCAAGAAAGATTTCGTCAGTTGTAGAGTAAACAACAGAGACAGTGTCGTCGTCCGTTAATCGCGGTCGTATCAGTGAGAACCTTGCACTTGCAGCGCAGAAACCTATCCGGCAGCCCGGCCGGATAATACGACACTAATACTAACAGAGGTGTTCCCTAAGCTTCGCTTCGGTGTCATTTCTCTACCACTCCTTTGCTCTCTCTACCCTGATTTTTCCAGTAATTGTCTATGAACGGTAAGACTGTTACATTTTATTGCTTCAAGTCCCTTGTTCATACTTTTGTTTAGTCTTAATAGACTGACCTTTGACTTTGCCTAAACTTTCTTCAGTCGGATCTTGTCTCCGGGCTTCCCTTCGCCAGTTGGCTTTGTGTGTTATATTTGTATATATCTTTTAGTTCCCGGAATAAAGTTGACAGAATGAACATCGTGTTTTGTGATTCTGGTATTTTCTACTTCCTTTCTTGTATATATTTCTGGCTTTCGGAATAGATTCATGGAAGTTTGTAGTGTCTTCTGCTTTCAACGTAACCAACGCAGTCACTAAATATGCAAAGTTCCTTTGCATATGATTACATTCACTAAAAACTAGATCAACAGTAGTGCACCCTCTAGTCCCATGATGCAGAGCAGCCACCATGTTCATCCTTCTTTTCCTTGGCGTGTATCCGAACGGACATGTCAGTTTTGCCATCCTCAAATTGTCCAGTTTTCTGTTTCACTACACGTTCCTGTGTTAATTTGATCAACTGTAATGTATTGTATTAAATGTATATTCCTTAATTTGATATATTTTTCTTGACAGGGTGTATGAATTTGTCGTTTTCGTGGCATTTCTTTTCTCTGTGTGTGTATTTTCATAGGTTCTACATTGAATCTACGCAGGAATATCGGGGATTCCACGAGGTGGTGCGGAGATTCGTTCCAAGGGTCCCCCACCTTCCTGGTAGACATGTAGGGTCAGTGGAGTGACCCTGGGACTGTTGGGACAAGCGAGGTATTGCGGCGTTCATTCTGCGGCTGCCATCTCCCCTGTAAATGAACAGGAGTCGGTCTGTGGATGATTGAGTGGCATTGCACGCTATACTTGTGATTCCACAGTAACATCTGCTGGCAGACCCAGTCCCTGTCCCGTCCAGGGTTAGCCACGCCACACTTCAGGGTCTGGGCTATAGAGCGGGTGGTATCCAAATGCTCTGCTCCCTCCTCTAACCACTTCATCGCATCGCAGTCAACAGCAGTGCAGAGTGGCTCTGTACTTGGGGTGAACAGACGGCCCCAAGCCTCCCACGCCAACTTCCCGCTGAACAGCTTCGAGCAGAACGTGATCCATCCTCCTGCAACATTATGTACTCCGCAGCCAACTTAACTCCTTTGAAGGCAAGTCTTCGTCTCTATTGCAGAAGGATATGATCCAGATCTTGGGTCCCCCTGCTAACCCTCCAGCGGCTGAGGACCCATTGCATCCCTCCTTCAAGTGCCACCTAGCTGGACTGGAGACGTCAGCACCGCTCTTCCCGGAGCTCCCTCTAGACCATAGTGGCTTCAAGATCTTTAAGGTTCTTGCTGACACTGTTCCTGGCCAGGTCAACAACTTATTTCCAGTTCTTCAAGGACGACTATGGGAACTTTCTCTCCATTCCCAATCTTGTCTTTTGATGCTCAGAGGTTTACCGGGAAGATCCCTTTCAAAAAGACAAATCTACCTTCGAAACTACCCTTCCTGAGCTTGACAAAGCTTCACGTCATGGCCCTCACTGTACGGCCTTTCTGGCTCTCCTCTCCGAGTACCTACACCCGTCTCTTTGTTTACTTTCTCAAGTAAGCCTCCTGAGGGTGCTATTCAAGTTTCATGTTACATGACCATGCCGTTCGGCATCCATGTTGGTTTTTGGAATACAGAGGTTCTACACTCAGTAGCATCAGTTCGTGCCCCTGCGTCCATTCATTTCACAGACAAAACACCTGTGAGGAAGACTCACCAGTGACTTCGGACCTTGCAGCTGTTGCTCTCCGAGAGCTCAATGTCAATTCTATCTTCGAGCAGTTCACTCAGATCTCCGTTTTGGCCACTTCTGCACCATGTCCACCGGAAATTTCATGAGAATAATGGAGGCTTCAGCTATTGACACAACCGACAATCTTAGTTTCCGCGAACCTCTGAGACCGGCCCCTCCCCGCCAGTCCCGTTCTGATGATCGCCAAATTCAACCCTTAGCTTTGCGAGCTAATAATCGCTTGGGTTCATAGGGACAGTTGTGCGGCTTTTTCTTCTCTTGTCTTCTCTGTCTTTCTTTCAATAAAGGTAATATCTTCCAAATTCATTCACTGATTTCAGCCAAATTTGGACAGAATCTAGCTTGGCCGGAGTCTCATGTGTAATGACAAGCATGTTTGGCCAGTGGTCGGTCACCAAGTGGCCACTAGTGGTCATTTTCCTCAGAATTACAATATACTTCTTCCACAACCTCCGTCCAGCTATTGTTAAACTTGGTCAGTGGCATGTCTGGACAAAACCTCACGAAAAATGTTTACAGAACCTGGCCAGTGGTCACCTGCTGGTCGTTTCCTTTGAAATTACAAATAAATTCCTTCTACGATCTTGGTTCAATGATATCTCAGGACCCAGTATCATAAACTGTGTTTATACAATTTGGCCAGTGGTCTTGTTGGTTGTCCAAATGTAAAAATTGATCATTTTCATCTTTGCAGCAAGCCGTTCAGTTTACATAGAATTCGGCCATTGGTCACATGGTGGTCTGTGGTGGTCACTCAATTTAGATCAAATATACTAATGTTGGCCTACTAAATTATTTAGCAGAGAGCCGTGATGTACGTAGCCTCAATGTCCATTTTGTACTGTGCACACAGCAACACACATTACGCCAAGGGTGCAACCTTGCAAAAAGGCCAGAAATACGTCTGCCGAGCTCATTAATCAAAGATACACACTCAAAGTATTCTATATTAGAGGTTCCTGAGAGCCATTGAACTGGGGAATTGAAGAATTATGGCACTGAACCTCAGGGCCAGACTCAGGGCTTCCATATCTTAGCAATATGGATGCAATCGAGTCCAAAAGGGGCACTATTTGAGCCATATTTCAGAGGGATGCATTTTCAAAATGGCTACTTTTCCATGTAGTGAAATTTCCTTCGTTTTAGGGGTGGTCTGCTTTGGGTGAGAATTTCTCAAAAGTCATTGGTCAACCCACCAAATATTGAAAGGAAAATGAAAGAGGACATGTGGAACATCATTTTTCTGTGCAGCCTGAACACCTGTGAGAGTTGTGAGTATTTTTTTTAAACTATTTTTGAAGTATGGGGATTTATCACTGCTATCTATGGGAATTTATTTGTAGTGGTGCACCCCCACCAGGCCACTGCCCACATGCATTGCCCACTGCACATTTCCTCCTGCAGTTTGCCGTGACCACACAACAGATTCAAAGGTTTGAAATGAGCTCAATACTGCCGTAAATCCTTCAGCTCATTTCAATACCTTTTAACTTACTGTGCGATGATGCCTGACCGCAGAAAGGAGTGCAATGCTCAAACAACAGTCCTTTAAATTTTGTAATTTGCTTACACTGAGTTTGATCATTGACAACCAGTCAATAAATGACCTTACATTTAAGGCGTAATATTGCTAGTTTAGAGGGTCTACGGAAATGCTCTTTTTCAAGTATAAGGTCAACATCGCAACTTAACCATTTACCATGGTAACCGATTCCTATTGGACATACGGGCACAATACAACTTCAGCACGGTATTTTGATGAACTCATATTCCATCCATGACGCAGAAGAAAAGTTCACTTCCACTGATATTTTAAATACACTTATAGACTGCCCACTTTAGAATACTACACATTCCAAAAATTTAAACTTTCCCACGTGCAGCTGGCAATTACATTTTGTCGACCTTTTCTACTTCTTTCCACAGTGGTTGTGGGGAAATGGCCTGTCCGGGACACTGATCTCTGTACGCTGGATAGACAACTCAGCAGTACTAACAGCCTATGTGTGAATTGAAGCGTCCGCGCAGCCATCTGAGGATATCCAATACAATGGCCTCCAACTTTAATCCATTCACTAAGTGCATCTATGTACAACGTATTTAATAGCTTCAGATGGCTGCGCAGTCGCTTCAATTTGCAGAGCGGAGCTGCCTACCCAGTGTATCCGCCCGCGCCCCGACTTGAAGTGCACCCCGAGCGGAAAAAACACAGATTGCTGTAAGTTTTACCACACCTCATAGATATTCATGAAGAAATCCAAGAGCGTCATTGGCCGATTCCACCTCGTGTCTGGGAAGTAGAAATGATATGCGACTGGGTGACGTCATAGCGGTGAGTAACCGCCTCGCTGCCGTGCGTTAAATTTTTTTCTGGTAGCATAACAAAAAAAACTCTGAAACCTCTGAAGGTGTAGGTTATCTTGACTACCTCAATTCGCGCTAGGAGGTAGTCAAGCTGACCATATTCGTTCGGTGGGTTTCAGAGTTTTTTTTGTTATGCTACCAGAAAAAAAATTAACGCACGGCAGCGAGGTGGTTACTCACTGCTATGACGTCACCCGGTCGCATATCA